CGTGGGGCACATTTTCTTAATGCCCTCCTCGCGGCGCTGGAGGGGTGGGAGGGGCACGAAACAGTGTAAATAGTATGGTTTTCCGATACCCTCCTCGCTCAGGCGGGGCCTCCCTGGAGGGGTGGGAGGGGCACGAAACCATGTAAATAGTATGGTTGTCCGATACCCTCCTCGCTCAGGCTGGGCATCCCTGGAGGGGTGGGAGGGGCACGAAACAGTGTAAATAATATGGTTGTCGGATACCCTCCTCGCTCAGGCGGGGCCTCCCTGGAGGGGTGGGAGGGGCACGAAACCATGTAAATAATATGGTTTTCCGATACCCTCCTCGCTCAGGCGGGGCCTCCCTGGAGGGGTGGGAGGGGCACGAAACCATGTAAAATAGTATGGTTTTCCGATACCCTCCTCGCTCAGGCGGGGCCTCCCTGGAGGGGTGGGAGGGGCACGAAACCATGTAAATAGTATGGTATTCCGATGCCCTCCTCGCTCAGGCGGGGCCTCCCTGGAGGGGTGGGAGGGGCACGAAACCATGTAAATAGTATGGTATTCCGATACCCTCCTCGCTCAGGCGGGGCCTCCCTGGAGGGGTGGGAGGGGCACGAAACCATGTAAATAGTATGGTATTCCGATACCCTCCTCGCTCAGGCGGGGCCTCCCTGGAGGGGTGGGAGGGGCACGAAACCATGTAAATAGTATGGTATTCCGATACCCTCCTCGCTCAGGCGGGGCCTCCCTGGAGGGGTGGGAGGGGCACGAAACCATGTAAATAGTATGGTATTCCGATACCCTCCTCGCTCAGGCGGGGCCTCCCTGGAGGGGTGGGAGGGGCACGAAACCATGTAAATAGTATGGTATTCCGATACCCTCCTCGCTCAGGCGGGGCCTCCCTGGAGGGGTGGGAGGGGCACGAAACCATGTAAATAGTATGGTATTCCGATACCCTCCTCGCTCAGGCGGGGCCTCCCTGGAGGGGTGGGAGGGGCACGAAACCATGTAAATAGTATGGTATTCCGATACCCTCCTCGCTCAGGCGGGGCCTCCCTGGAGGGGTGGGAGGGGCACGAAACCATGTAAATAGTATGGTATTCCGATACCCTCCTCGCTCAGGCGGGGCCTCCCTGGAGGGGTGGGAGGGGCACGAAACCATGTAAATAGTATGGTATTCCGATACCCTCCTCGCTCAGGCGGGGCCTCCCTGGAGGGGTGGGAGGGGCACGAAACCAGGTAAATAGTATGGTATTCCGATACCCTCCTCGCTCAGGCGGGGCCTCCCTGGAGGGGTGGGAGGGGCACGCCATGGTATGGTATGGTACGGTATGGTACGTATGGTGTGGTATGGTATGGTATGGTATGGTATGTGTGGTGGGAACTATGGTATGGTATGGTGTGCGTGGTAGGAATAATATTGTGCTGTCTGGAAGATGGAGCGGGAGGTGGGTGGGAAGGAGAGGGTGTTCTGGGAAAACAAGAACCCCACTCAGGATGTGGGGAACAAGAACCCCACTCAGGATGTGGGGAAAAACATGACGAACAGAAACATGAGGAAACACAATTTTTCAAACGGAGCAAGAACAACCATTCCAACCTCCATGAAGGCGAAGGTTGCATTTGTTTCTGTTTGTCCTCCCCCCTTTGGAGGTTGGAGTTTTTCGTTTTCCATACGAGAGCACCGGTGTTGTCTTCTTTGTATCGTTTCTTTTGTTTTTTGCTGCGTTCGTTCCTGCGGCGCCCGCTCCTGCAGACTACACTCGGATTGCTTCCGACTGTAATACGATTCTTTTTGCGGGTGATTACAATCGGATTATATATGTGGAGGATTATATTCGGATTTTGTTGTCGAGGATTTCAATATGGTTCCTTCCCGCGCAGGATTACAATAATATGTGGAAGGTTTCTTGCGCGGCCGCTTACGAACGTTGTGACGACTTCACAATTATTTGGCCAAAACTTTGAGCGCAGGGCAAAGAAGTGGGCCCACCTATTCCCTCCACCTCCATTGCCTCTTCGGATGTATGCCGCCGCCACAGTCGTATTCCTTGTCGTCCTCATTCCCAAGGGCACGTGCACTCCACCTCCCCTGCGCTTTCTTGCTCGGGTCGCCTTTCACCCAGACATTGCGTTGCCCCACGTCGCTGCACATATTGTCAAACCGCACAGTGATCACACAGCAGGCGCCTCGAATCAGATGGGCGCGGGCCTGGTGGCAGTGCTGAAGTTTTGGATAGCATTAGAATCTTAGAGGGTCTTAAATCGAATCGTCGGCAGCGGAAATGACAGGGACGAGGAGGAGCACGAGGACAGGGAGCGACATCTGACCCTACCCTGAGCGAGCCCAGCGCCCACTCCCAATCAGTGAGTTCAAGGCGGGCGTCCGACGAGGGCGGGCCGCGGAAGACGAGAGCGCGCCCTGAGCAGGCTCCCGATGCATCGACGCCGCTGGGACGTGAGTGTGGAGGCAGCACGTAAGAATTCGCCGTCACGAAGAGGCCCTGCCTTTGAGTCTCTGGAGGGCTCTCGACAGGGGTCCTCCGCAAGCCCACGGTCTCCTGCGACATGTTTTTTGGCAGTCCCGGCGCTTTTCTTCGTTTTCGGCCTCTGAGGCGAAAAGCTGGAGATGATCCAGGACGATAAGCCAGCCCCGCGGGGAAGGGTTCGGGGCTTCGTGGGCCGTGCCCTGATAAACATCGCATCTCCGAGGCGGGGATGTATACATAACCGCCGCCTGGAGGGTCGATCTCGGAGATTTCGGCGGGAGGTTGATACGGATTTATTTGGGCCTCCAGGGGGCAAAATATGTCCATATGCACCGCCCGCCGAAGCACCTGGGCGTCGGTTCCCAGGCGGTGGATATGGATAAATTCCCACCTCGCAGTGCAGTCAACCCGCATAGCAAGGATGGCCAGTCTTCCCAAGGGCGCCCTTGCATCCTAACCTTCCCGGTTTATCCTTGGCCACTTTCGTTGGCCGCGCCCCGCTCAAAAAGCTTCGACGTGGCCTTCAGGGGGCCCGAGCGACGTGAACCCCATCCTCCCCCTCAGAAATCGTTGGGGGGTAGGGGTAGGGTTCGCATGTGGCCCCCTATGCATCCTTCTCGCGCATCCTGACTCTACGGGTTGACTGCACTCCAGATTTCGTAATAAAAGGGAGGGGGTCTGGACCCTCCAAGACAAGCCATTTCAGACCTCCCCCGTGGGAGAACCCTCCAAAACATCGTCCCCAGACCCCCCAGGCCCTCCAAGATAGCCTGGAAGAGACCCCCCCCCGAAATGAGACCCCCCCTCCCTTTATTACGAAATCTGGAGTATCTTCGGATGTCTTGGGGGCCCTTCTCGGCGCGGGCCCACGCCACGAGGGCCCCGGCGCCCTGCCCGTGCGGCGGACCGGCTGTCGGAGCACGGCAGGGTCGCGCCGTGTCGACGCGGTGGCGACCTTGGCTCGGGTATAGCCAGGACCCTAGGTAAGGTCAAGTCGGCCTGTCCCACTACAGGGGGATTTTCAACGAAAACTAACGAGTACCCCCAAAATAGTCCAAACATATTCTGGGGACTATTCTATGAGTATTGTTTGACCTTTTTGGAGTATTTTGGGTTTTCTTATGTTTCGTCGAAAAATCCCCCTGTAGGGGGACAGGCCCGACTGAAAGGTAAGGAGACCCGGTTAGTGGTAGGGCCCTGGAGCCTTTGAATTGGCCAGAGTCACTGATCGGGAGCGGCAAAGAGGGGGGTGATGCTAGGGGGGGGGATTTCATGACGTGGACCATGATATTTCCCAGATTTCATGGCGTCTCTTTGGTCCCCCCCCCTGGGCCGCGCACATGCCGCCGGCCATGATTTGCACCCCCCCTCTTGGCCGCTCCCGAGAATTGGCCAGAGTCACTGAACCAGGTCTGCCGTAGCTGGTGTCTTTTTCGGTGGACGGCAGCTCCGCTCAGTGTAACGGGGCGGGGCGGGGGGGCGTCCCCCACTGCACGTCACCAAACCAGGGCCCACGAAGCCCAGTTCTGCCGACGCCCGACTCGGCGCCGGCGTTCCAGGCCGCACGCTGGCGGTGCCTCCGAGCTGGCCGAGTTCGAACGATCGGCGCCATCGGAGAGCCGCGGTCGTTCCAGGTTCAACGCTCCGCGAGGTATCAGAATAGGGGAACAAAAAGTGGCATAAACATAAAAACTCTGAGGTCCGCGCGGATTTCTCGCATCGGCGCTGGGGTCCCCCGGCGGCGCCTCCGGCGCCGCCCCTGGCGCGCTCCGCGCGCCAGGGAGGGGGGGTCCAGCGCCGATCTGAGAAATCCGCGCGGACCTCCGAGTTTTAATGTTTATGCCACTGTTTGTTCCCCTACAGAAACCGACGCGCAAGGCGGCACAGCACGTACCGTCCGCAGCTGGCCGTCGCGATTGTTTCCATGGAGCCGCTGCTGAGGTCGCGTGCCCGTCCTCCCAAAAGTCCACCTCCTTGAGCTAAGAAGTAGTCAGCAGCACGTTGATCTGGGCGGTTTGCGATGTCGCGCGTTGTGTTGAGTCAGGGCTTGTTCTCATAATTTCGGCGTCAGGAGCAATAGCACGCAATCTGCAGACATAAGCGACGTCTACGCCTTTGCGGCAAATCCATTAGTCAACAGGCCCTTTCAAACGACAGTTGAGTTCGCAGGTATTTCCGTCGACGGTCGTAGGATTGGCCTCAGCTTCCACGGAGAAGAAAGAATGGCGGCCTTTGGCCGAGATGTGACTCCAGGATTGTGGAGCAGGGTATGGCTTATGTCGGGCCTGTCCCCCTACAGGTGTATTTTCGACGAAAAACAAAAAATCGTCCAAGAATAGTCCACAAATACTCCAAAAATAGTCCGGGGAATATTTTTTCTTAGTATTTGTTCACCTTTTTGGAGTATGTTGAAGGTATTTTTATTTCTTCGTCGAAAATCCCCCTGTAGGGGGACACGCCCGACATAAAGCATATGGCAGATCATGTGTGCTATTGGTCGGGGAGCACGCTCCGTCGCTCACTGCAGAGGCGTCCATCCGCACCAACACCGTGATCTGCTGCGGGCGGATCTCGAGCAGCCTGCCGAAGGCCGTGGCCAACCAGACGTTGATGGCCGTGCTGGCTGCTGGCATCAAGGAGGGTGGGATCATGACGAACGAGCAACACACCCATACCCATAGGGGGGTCGTTGGGAGGAGGACTGGCTATGGGTATGGGTGCGGGTTGTCGGACCCTGGGGACTGCTCCCGTTCAAGCGGGGACCCCCATCCGACAACACGCACCCATAGCCCTCTCCGACCCCTCTATGGGTATGAGTGTGTGCTGTTGGTTCGTCAGATCAGGGGCGAAGGATGAAGTGCGGTATTGGCGTGAACGCTGACGCCCCCGCGTCGATGTCTACGTCCCTGGGCTGTTCATACCCAGCGTTATGGTGTTCCAACCTGCTTCAGCCTGAAGCACCAGAAATAATTCCGAGCACCAAGAGAGTACCGAGACTCGAGGGTGTTCACGTGTCGGGCCCTGGGAGACACTCGTTGGACACCGTTTCGACACTCTTTCGACACTGTTCCGACACTTTTCCGGGTGCTCGAAGCTATTTCTGGGATGTGGTCCTTACGTACGATGGGGGCAACGTAAACCCAGCATTTTTTCCGTCCCTTTCAGCACAAGGCGCTCGGCTTCTCGCGTGGTGCATCAGTTCGTCGTCTACGCGCACCGGCACCAGCGTTGTACTGTGCACGCCCCTGCTCCTGTTTCTCATGTGCGGGTCTGGAATTCTTTGTGTCCCGTGCGTGCGGAGTTGTGCGTACGGGCAGACGCGAAAGGGAAGCGGTGTGTGTATGTGTGTGTGTGTGTGTGCGTGTTGGAGGGTTCAGGCTTTAGCCCTTCCAGTTGCAACCTTAGGGGAACGAGCAATGACATAAACATAAAAACTCGGAGGTCTGCGCGGATTTCTCGGATCGGCGCTGGACCCCCCTCCCTTGGGCGCCGGAGGCGCCGCCAGGGGGGTCCAGCGTGGATCCGAGAACTCCGCGCGGGCCTCCGAGCTCTTATGTTTATGTCATTGCTCGTTCCCCTAAACCTTGAACTGATCTCGTGCGGACTTCTCTCGGATCTTTGCTCTCTCGGGCCCTGCCCTCGAGACATCCACGTGGTGGCCACCTGGACAACGGGAGGGGTGCCGTGTGCGCAGGCATCTGCGCACGGTCGGCAGCACGAAGTGGCAGGCGCACAGTAATCAGGAGGGAAACAACACACATCCACTGTGAATCGTCGATCCCCAGGAACAGATGCGAAAATCTAGAAAGTGGATGGGGCAGCAGAAACTCAGAAGATATGGGAAAATCTGGGGATTCCTGTCAGTTGTGCGTATGTATTTGTGTGTCCCAGGGCCCCTTCAAGTAACCTCTCCCTCGTCGCACTTCTCCGCATGCGACTACACAGTTTGGCCACGGCTCACCCAAGTCTTTCCTGTCCGCGAGTCCTCTGACCAGGATCCCTTCGGACCATGCCGCACAGCAAGCCTGCAGACGCTCCTCGCTACGTCGTCCCTGTTTAGCATGGAGGACATCGCGACGCGGCTGCTGCCGAACGTGTGCCACCGATTGATCGATCCCGACCCGGGTGTCTCCAGCACCGCCTTCCAGGTTCTAAACGATTTGCAGGTCGCACGTTTTGTGGGCTCCCGTAACGAGCGTCGTTGATTCGTTGTTGTCCACTCCCCGCAAGTCCCGACGTTTCTTGAATCGCTACGGCGCCCCATGTTCCGAGCAACAGTGTTTGCATGTCTTGGTGCGCTCTGGAGGGCACTGCGATGCCATGCTTCGCAACTCGAACTGATCATCATCTTTTTGGACCCTTCAATGTGAGCCTTGAGGTCCAGCTCAAGCAGCAGGTCGAGGAGAAGCAGGTGGCGGTGCGTCTCCTCTCCAAGTGGGCTTTGGTTGGATCTGGGGTAGAGTTAGTATGGTTGGGTGACTGGGTGCGTTGGGAAGGGCAGAGGGCTGCCGACTAGCGCCGCATGGGAACGATGAATGTTTGACGCTGATCTTATGTCGGGCCTGTCCCTCTACAGGAGGAATATTCAAACATAGTAGAAAAATAGTCTGGGGACGATTTTTATTAGTTTTGCCCATTGGGGGGTATTTGTAAAGTTTTTCTTTCGCCCAAAATCCCCCTGTAGGGGGACACGCCCGACTTAACGCTGATCATTTCTCCAAGCATGCTCAGCAGATCGGCCTGATTCGAATAGAAGCAGAAAGCCGAGTCAGCTTTCGCCTCGCAGCATTCGAGGACCGACCCATGCGCGTACTGGAGGGTCGAAAGCAGTAATGGCAAGACGATGCTGAAGCCTCGTTGCGATGGCGAACAATCAATCGTATGGCAAGGAGCTGCGAATTATCTACGATGATGTTCTTGTGTGTAGCGTTTCCTGGCGATACCGTTGCTCGCTCGTTTCGTCACCCAGCACGGTTGCGTGTGTTGATTCTGAGCACGTTCCTCGCCGAGCGCGTATCGTCTTAGATTGCCGTGGCATTTGTGCCTGAGAAAAGTTGGTAGGAAGATGTTATGGTTTTTTTGTACGCATGCGTCTCTGTGGGAACGTGAGGTGGATGGATTTGCAGACTGCAGCGTGCAGCAAATCTTGCTAAACGGATTTATTCCACCACATAGTTCTAGACTCCAGGCACTAACGGGGGATAGTCTTCGATGTTTCCTCATCCACTCTGCCCTCTTGTCTGTTGCTTTACTTCTTCCAGCTGTGTACTGCAATATCCCCGGCGCGACCACGGCGAGAATTCCGTTGCACATATCATTGATGGGTGATCGTTCGGCGATTGCGCTGCACTTGCGAATGGCGCTCCAAGCGTTAATGCAAATTTGCGCATCTGTTACTCGATACATGCTTGATGCACGCTTGCATTGCTTGATATATGCGTACCACATCATGCGCATCGTTCACTTTGCCTGGCACGCTCAGCGTCTGTTTGCCAACAGCCTGTGTTACCAATCATAGCCTCAGAAGAGGATAAAGTTGGGCTTGCCCCTCTACAGGAGGAGTATTCAAAAATAAACAGAAAAGTGTTTTGGGACGATTTTTCTAGTACTTGTTGAGCATTATTTGAGCTTGTTTAGGGTATGTTTCATTTTCCTTCAACGTCCGCCTGTAGGGTGACATGCTCGACCTAAGAGAAGGGCAGCATGGCACACTCAGATACATCTGAGCCGAACGCTAAACACAGTGCTAAGACTTACATATTGATTTGGACCACTGCTGCATTTCACATAACCACTACCTGCGAGCGTGGACCCGAATCAGTGAGATGTTGCATTGACGATGTGTACGCTACGTAGTGTGATAGATTGAGCAGTGACGAAGCGTCTTGGCCTGCCTACGGGCTCTTCAAACAATAGTATGAGAACCTGTTCTCTGCACGAGATGCTGCTAGAACATTCCTGGTTGAGACAAGCTTGTTTCAACACATCGGGCTTACTTTCTAAGAACAGTGTGTTGTTCTTCGAACATTATGGGGTTCTGCAAGCATTCCGTGGTAGGCCTTTGTGAATGCCGCGACGGTCGGCCCCTGTTAAAAATATAGGAGGCGTGATCGATGCGGTGTGAGCTGTATGGTGTAAGCTACGTGGTGCAATATATGCAGTGCAAGCTATATGGTGTAAACTACATTGTGCAAGCTAAGTGGTGCAGTCCATGCGGGGCGATGGGGTGTGAGCTATGACGTGCGATATATGCGGTGCAGTGCAATCCGGTGCATTATACGCAGTGCGTGGCGTGAGCTATGTGGTGTAAGCTATGACATGTGAGTTATGCGGAGTAAGCTATGCTACATTTGTGGTGTGCTATGTTGTGCAATGTATGTGATGTCGGCAATGCAGTGTACGCATGCGGATCCCAAGTGGCGCCCACGGGCCGCAACGTAGCGAAACGTCGGCGGACCCACCCAGCGCACGGGGCGCCCACGAGGCGCCCTTGGGCGGCAACGTGGCGACACCTCGGTGGACCTGCCCGGCCCACGGGGCGCCCACGGGGCGCCCACGGGGCGGCCACGAGGCGTCAAAGCGGCGAAACTTCGGCGGACCCGCCCAGCGCACGGGGCGCCCACGAGGCGGCCACGGGCGGCAACGTGGCGACGCCTCGGCGGACCCACCCAAGCGCGGCAGGCGGCCACGAGGCGGCCACGGGCGGCAACGAGGCGGCCTCGGGCGGCCACGAGGCGGAACCTCGCGGCGGCGAGCGGCCACGAGGCGCCCACGTGCGGCGACGTGGCGAAATTTCGGCGGACCCACCCACGCGCGGCAGCGAGGCGCCCGCGGGCGGCAACGTGGCGACATTTGGGCGCACCTCCCAGGCGCGGTGGGCGGCCACGAGGCGGCCACTAGCGGCAAAGTGGCGAAAATTTGGCGGACCCGTCCAGTTCGACCCTTGCAGTTCCTCAGTATGACAAGCCAGAACCCCTGAGCGCAAGTGCCGTTTGGAGATTCGATCCGAACATGTCGCGAGTAGGCAGCGGGTTCGGAGCAGCCACGCGACATCGAAGTGCAACCGCTCAGGGCCTCCGAGAAAATAGCACGCTGATTCGGCTGTTACTAAAGGCACGTCGCTCTCTGCGCAGTAATTACCTTTATGATCGCATGTTGCACGCTTGCAAAATGCTGTCGAAAGTCTCGGTCGGCGCGTGTCGCAAGCAGTGGCAAATGATGTGGCACGCAGCGTTTTCGCGTATTCCACCAGGGGGTGGTCACGTACGCAGGGGTCATGCCATGCGTAGGTTGTTAGTGGTGCTTCGTGTTGTTTCTTGTTTGTCTCATGAACGTAGTTGCATTCCGCTGCTCATCGCATCAATGAGGGCGATCGGATCCAAATTGCCATCGGCCCGGAGACTCCCCGTCGCGTGGACGCTCCGTAGACATTTGGGGCTCGAGCTTTTCCGCGCAGGTGCGCTCGGGCAGTGTGTCGTGGTCTCACCTGCCCGAGTGCGACCCAGGCGCCAGTGCTCGCAATGGCTGCGAAGGCGCGGGGCGCGGCCATTGCGGTCGGCGGCGCTGTCGCCGGGTGCTGCGTGACCTACATGGGCACCCAGCTGCTCAGCGCCCCCCCCGCCGCGAGGCCTTGTCCCACGGAGCGCGAGCGCAGAGAGACGTTCGAGAAGCTGGCGCCGAAGTGGGACTCCACCGTGCGCTTCGATGAGATGGTTGCCGGCATCGGCCGCTGGCGAAGCCGCTTAGTGCAGAGAGCGAGAGGCGACGTGCTGGAAGTCGCCGTCGGCAGCGGTCGTAATTTCAGCTATTATAACAGTGCCAAGGTGAAGAGCGTCACCGGCATAGATTTCAGCCGCGCGATGCTCGAGGCTGCCGACAAGAAGCGCGCCGACCTGCGGCCCATACAGTTGCGGTTGAAGCTGAGCTCCTCACAGCAGATGGACTTCGAGGACTGCTCGTTCGACACGGTGGTCGATACGTTCGGCATTTGCTCCTTCGAGGCGCCCGTGGAGGCTCTGCGCGAGATGCGGCGGGTGGTTAAGGAGGACGGCCAGGTCCTCCTGCTGGAGCACGGCGCGTCGAACTGGGAGATCATCCAGGGGATGCTGAACCGGGGAGCGCAGCACCACGCTGACAAGTTCGGGTGCTACCCGAATCGCAACATTGAGAAGCTGGTGAGGGAGGCGGGGCTCCACATCTAGAGAGCCAGACGACGGCACGAGCAGAAACCCGCGGAGGTCCGCGCGGGTCATGTGTCACCACCCACCAAACCACCCCAACCCAACCCGAAGCCCTCAATTTGCCCTTCATTTTCCAGTGTGTGGGGGGGGGTCGGAGAGCATTGAAAGAACGCATGCGACCCGTTACCCCCCCCCCAGCTCGAAATTCGGGTCAAATGCGGGTCTTCGGGTTGGGTGGGGGTGGTCTGGTAGGTCGTCAACATGGCTCGGCGCCGGCCCCCCTTCCCGCCGCGCGCGGAGCGCACAGCGCACAGGGGGCGGCGCCAGCGCCGCCGCAACGGGTGTGGGTGCGGGTGCGGGGGTCCAGCGCCGGCCCGGGTGAGGCCTCGGGAGGAGCGAGGTGGGGGCAGAATGAGCGGGGACGACGACCGACTCCTCCTCCTCCTCCTCCTCCTCCTCCTCCTCCTCCTCCACCCCTCCTCCTCCTCCTCCTCCTCCTCCTCCTCCTCCTCCTCCTCCTTCTCCTCCACCCTCCTCCTCCTGCTTCTCCTCCTCCTCCTCCTCCTCCTCCCTCCTCCTCTCCTCCTCCTCCTCCTCCTCCTCCTCCTCCTCCTCCTCCTCCACCCCCTCCTGCCATTGGAGAAGGATTCGCTGTCGGCGTCGCCGCGGACACTGCCCATTTCGGACGGGCGTCGCCTGCCCAACAGCGGCCGCTGCTGGTCTTGGACAGCATCTCTTGTTGGGCCCCGTCTTGGGCGTGCCCGAGTCAGCGCGTACCTTTAGAACCTCTTTGTGCTTAGGGTAGGTTTGTGTCGTGTCGACGCGGCGGCATTCTCGACGCGGGCGTTCAATGCTATACGCCGCCTGTGACCGAGAATCGGCCGGAATCGAAAGATCTGCGCTGTCAGAAAGCCGCGATCGCCCAAGGTTGAACGATCCACGCGGTGCCACAGACCCACGCCGAAGTCGTCACGTCACAAGCCTGCCATACGGGGCGAGAGCCGACTCCACCTGGCCGCGTGGCTTCCCGGCGCTCGGCCCTGGTGTGGCCAGGCACCCCGGCCCTCCGCTTGTGTACTCGGCGCGTGGCCTGGAGCTGCTCCACTTTGAAATCCAGCCGTACGAGTTTCGAACTTCTGGTGCCCCTCCTCCCTCCTCCGCCCCCTCCTCCCCCTCCTCCCTCCTCCTCCTCCTCCCTCCTCCTCCCTCCTCCTCCCTCCTCCCTCCTCCTCCCTCTGCCTCCCTCCTCCGTCCTCCTCCGCCCTCCTCCTCCTCCTCATCCTCCTCGTCCTTTTGACGGTCCTACGGCCCCAGTGGCGGCCCCCAGAAGCCGAAC